CTTTGCAGCGTTTGCTGTTACTTTCAAATCGCCTTGCCAACCGGTTTATTGTCGTTTTTCTTCCATTTTTAATCTTTTTTCTCTACCCCGAGTCTAAGACCTCGCCCTAGCTCGTCTCTATCCTGCGCAGTATTGCGCATTCGTTTTTCATCTCCCCCCACAGAGGGCGCTAACGGAGGGGAGGCTTTTTACCCCAGCACAAACAGAGCGAAGTCCCTGGGCGAATGTTCTCCTCAGTTCGGCACTTCTTTTTTTACCGTGCTGTCAAGCGTTGTCTCTAAGACTTCTGATGAACTCTCAGCTTTCCGGCCTCAACTGGCTGATAAGGAATGCTCATCTTAGACTAGTTCACTTTTTTCCAGATAATATCGTGGTATTTCTACTTCAAAAGAATACAAAGACTCAGTGAAGCGAGTAAAACAGCTTGCGGGGCGATTTTTTCAACATTACCGCTGATACACTCAGTGCCTCTACTTGCGAGACAGTCACTTAGACCTGTGCTCAGTAGCTTATATATCTCCCCCCTCCTGACTACTATATTCTCCGCACTATAGGGCGCACCAGATTATAGGGCACACTGTCAACAAATTGTTTATTTTCGAACTTTTTTCTCATATAAATCGCACCGGACTATAAGGCGCATTAAGGGAAACAAAGCAGTCAGATAACTCAGTCAAAAAAATGTTTCTGCTGCTGTTCTGTGAGTATGTCTCTGATGATGAATCCGCGATGGATTTAGAAACGTCAGGCGAATAAACATATTGTCCCAGCGATCGAGTCGTCTTCTACTTCTCGATAACTCAGTCAGTCAAACCTTTTTGAACGTATTCACAATAATTCTCAACCTGGCGCCTTATAGTCTGGAAAATGCGGTACATAACCTCTGTAAACGTTACCTCACTTCTAAGCAAAAGCGAAAGTCTTATTCTGTCTGACCCGGTGGTGTTTACTTGCTCCTTTTCTGCCCTGAAGCGGTTTGGCCTGGAGCTGGTCAGAGCCGTGATGTCCACAGAACGCAGTCAACAGATCCTCTGTGACACCGACATGCCGCGAATCCTTCTGACCAACTTCCGACCGGCTCTGGCCTCTGTGGAGCATCCGTTGCATGACTACGTTTCCCTCCTTTTCGGTCTCCTCACAGCGCACTCGCTCACCCCGCGCGACTTCCGGTACGTATGTATGTCCTTTGCCCCCCCCC